CTCATCCTTCCTTGCTATCAGCCCCAAACAGAGCCAGGCTCCTTCCTGGTCTCCCAACTCGAGGCCTGGCATTGGCTGCAGATCAAGTGGGGTGGGGCTAACTGAGCCCAGAGGTTCTTTAATCCCAGGGGTGCCAGGCCTTTTTCTCCTCTGCTCCCTCCCAAGGGGGTCAAAGATACAATAGAACAGTTTTTTTAATCAGAATTTTCACACCATAATTACACACTAGCTGTGTAATGGACATGAATATCTAGCTTTCCCCACCTCCCTTACTTATCTTTGCTAGCATCAGTGCCAGTGAGACGTTCCTTAAGAAAATAAGACACGAAAGGGCTCAAGTCAATGTTCATGTTTCATATTGCCAATTGCCTGCCATGCCAAGTATTAATGAGAGATTAAGACATTATACATACCAATTAGCTCTCTCTTGTCTGAATAGAAGGACATGTAGTCATAGTCACATGTGATCTGGCTCTCTAAATCTAATCTGGTGAACTGTATCAATATAGCTTTATCTTCCGGCACAGTTATATTCCACATGCACAGACTGAAAACAAAGAAGCAACTAAGTCAGACACCAGAGCCAGGGCTAGAGTGAAATTCATGTTACTGCATCCTTCCCTCCCAAACAGCTCCAAACAGCAGGGCTAGGGTATGTTAAGCCAAGTATCTCAATTTTATGAGCACTATTCATGTAAGAATGAGACTAAAAGTAGTTGTGCTTCTCATCCCAACAGGCTCTTGCTGGGTAACTATTGTTGCCCAGTATCCCAGCAAGCACCACTAGAAAGGGGTTTAACTTTAGAGACTAGCTTGTTAAAGTTGACATGTACCCACAAGTTCAGCCACAAAACTGACTTGATCATGTTCACTAACCCAGGAGTAAGAATTCATGTAATTGCAGGCTGAAGTCCTATGGCTAGGAGTTATACATATTCTGCAGGGACAGTCATCCCTTTTGGCTTTATAGACACAAAGGGCCGTATGAAAAGTTGCCCTTAGCAGAAGGGCCAGTGTTTCTGATTATGTACAGTGAATACCTATTATTAGGGTAGTTACTCTCACTGGATTGGGGATACTGAATGCGGCCACTTGCTCCAAAGACCAGCATTCCGTGGGGGCTGCATCCTTCAGGGAAGTGTGGGAGAAGGCGATCTGGCACTGCAGTGAGAGACAGAACACCACACAGAATAAAATGAACACTTGCATTGTCTGGGACAGGCAGGATACAGTTGGTGCATCCATTTGATTAATGCCACTTGACACATTAAGTGCATTAGAAAGACCCATAGATAGGTGGTGACCAATCAGAGACCACCCAAGTGGGCCCTTCCGGCACATGGGTGGTCTCTGATTGGTCACCACCTAAGTGGGCCCTTCCGGTATGTCACTAATGACAGGCATTTTCTTGACCCTCATGATAGACAAGCAGGCAGAGAGAGATCACTGGTAAATGTACCCACCAGGGATAATGTTCTGGGTGACGAAGTTCATCAGTTCAGCTACGTTGGCAAAGATGCCCGGGGAACCCCTTTCACTGACACTTTTCTGAAGAGCATCCCAGCCTCTTGCACAGCCAACTCCCCACGATGTGATGCCGGCCAGAGTCCAGATACCACTGGCTCTTTGACACACGAGGGGACCGCCAGAATCACCCTGGCCCAGCATGGGTTGGAGGAGGAGAGGGGAAAAAGAGCAGATATTTGGTCAAATGTAACAACGGTTTCAGGGTATCACCTCATGGCTTCCCCTCTCAGGAGGTGACGTTGCAGCTCTTCGGAAGACTGACAAAGGCTCAGCATCACCACACTTCTGTTAACTGTTTCCACTGCCTTTGTTCTAAGAGGTTAACAGCCGCATTGTGGCAGGACCTCAGCACGCTGACTACAGCTGGCCCTCCCACGACTGCAGCACAAGGGACTGTGTGTAGACTGGGGAAGAAAAGAACCCCTTGGTCTCCTGGCTGTAGAAATCCCCCCTTTACTAGGGAAACCCTGAGAAAGGCTGATGTTCTGATGGACACAGCTGCCAACAGCTAAGATAGCCGTGGGCAGGAAGGATGCCTACCATAGAAGCCAATACAACAAGTAGAAATGGAGAAGCTATTTTTCCTAAAACCTAAAGAGAAGGCAAGAATTTACTTCAGCCTCCTCCCAGTACAGTAGTATAGTATCAAATTCCAGCTATTTTTCCTAAAACCTAAAGAGAAGGCAAGAATTTACTTCAGCCTCCTCCCTCCCAGTACAGTAGTATAGTATCACATTCCGTTAGGCTGGGTCTCCTGTAACCTTTTGGGCTGCCTGCTACCACTGTGCTCCCACCTGTGCCGATTCACCAGTGGTAACAATAGCAGCTTAGACAGGGATCAGGCATATCATTCACCAGGTCATTTAACCCTATCTTAGCCAGGCCTAGATAAAAAGGTGGTTAAATGCACCAGTTCCTCATCTACAGCAACACTCCTAGCTAGGGACGTGAATGACTAGTCGACTATCCGATAAGCATTTGGTTATTGGATAGTTGACAGGCTAGTCAACTAGTTGCTTCCCCCCTCATCTTGCTGCCTCCATCAGAAAGAGGGAGGGGGGAGGAGTGGGAGAAGGGGGCTGCTTCAAAGCAGCAGCACCATGTGGAGCCTGGAGCCAGATCCTAGGCTTCATGTGCGCTGCCACTTTGAAACACCATGTGCAGCCTGGGGCCAGCTGGGGTGTCCTCAGGCTCCATGTGGCATTTCAAAGCGGCAGTGCCACACAGAGCCCAGGCTCAGCTCAGGAGACTTCAGCTGACCCCAGGCTCCATGTGGTGCTGCTGCTTTGAAACACTATGGGGAGTACAGTCCCCCACTGACCCCATGCTCCCTGCAGCACTTTGCCTTTGACGTGTAGCCTGTTCAAAGGTGAGAGGTGCCCTTATCGACTAATGGACAGTCTATGCAAATTGCATTGACTATTCAATTAGTCAATCAATTTAACATCTCTACTCCTAGCAGTGGGAGTTCCCCCTCTTCCTCCCTCCCCCCCCCCCCCAAGAGATGAGGGTAGACAAAGCCTTCATATGCCTGAAGCTCCTTTTAAGGCCTCAGTTCAGTAGCCATGTAAAAGTAGTAATGGACAAGATCCAATTCCTTTCCTTCCTTCCTCCTCTCCCTCTTTAGGGCAGGATGCCCTTCTGGTACACAAGAGTAGAGGATTGCTTGGTGGGGAGGGTTGGAGTCTGCCTCCATTTGCAGAGATCATCCTACAGGAAGATCCTACTGAATGATCTTTACCTTACAAGCATCCTTCCCACCATCAGGAAAGCCGGCACAGAGCATGGAGCTTCCTAATGAAGGCAGATTCATTTGCTTTAACTGGGCACTGCAGGTTCCTCTATCAATGATAGGGAGCTCCACTTCCTGCAGAACGCTGGACAGTTCACCAGCTGCAGAAGGAAGGAAACAGGCAACATCAGAAATTCTAGAACCCTACAAAGCAGGAAGTTGTGCTGCAGATCTGTCGCCACAGCCTAGCCACCAGAACATCAGTGTTGCACAGACAGGCCTGGAGGTACTGCCTGTAATTTAGATTATCCGAGAACTCTTGTTGCAAGTCCTTGTCTGCAACAAGCTATAGCTCTTGGAGTTAACTTGTTCCATGTTGGTGCCTGTCTCTGGCTGAATTGCTCTGAGAAGCATCAGCCAAAATGATTTGACCATATCTGAGAATGAGGCTAGGAAAAGTACATGGTTTTCCCCCCACAAAGTAATTCTGGTGACATTTTCCCTCAATAGCTCTGGTGCTCCTATGCTTTGGAGCTCAGCAGGGGAGGGAGGAGGGGATGGCTGTGTGTGTCAGATGTGCCTTTTGTGGTTTTCATAAAAAGCTATTGAAATTTGGGCAAGTTATAATTCTTTGAAAAACCTGCAGCTTTGTAGAGACTTTTCTTCAAGTTCTGCATTTAAACTTTGACCAGTGCATCCTCCATTCCCTCACAGCTTGCACCTGCAACTGCATTATGCATTTGTGCAGTGACTCAGCATGCTCTCTCCTGCCAAGGGCTATAGGGGCTCATGAGAATATTTCCTAGAATAGCTGCTTCTGATAGAGGAAGGAGCAGCCCTAGCCATTTCACTACCAGGATGGAAAACTTCTTTGATGCTCCAGGCAGCTGAGTTTAAAAGCACAGCACACCAAATCTGAAGGCCAACCTGACACTCAGGATGACAGCACTGCTTACCCATCCCTGGAACTGACCCTGAGTAGGGCTGACTGAGCACTGGAACTGAGAACAGAAAGTCTGTTTTTCCTGTGCTGCAGCCAAAGCAGAGGGGAGCTGTTATTTGAGCACATGAAAGGTCAGTGTTCCCTGTAAGCTGTGTGCAGTCACTCAAGAGATTCAAATGCTGCCCAGCTGATTAGCAGAGTGCCCACAGCTACGTTTTTTTTTTATTAGGGGTACAAATTCGTATTGCCTTGGTGTACAGAAAAAAAGTTAATTCTGCATGAATGGAAAAGATGCGAGAACACATTACAAAGGGCTATACAATGCCATGCACAGGTAACCTTAATTCTACCATTACTTATTTTTTTGACAGCGTCACTTAATGTTCTAACAGTTGGTGTGTGCAAGTCAACTAAGGCCCAAGTGATCTCCTTTTGTATCAAAAGTAACTAGGCAGGAGGCAGAGATGCCTCATCTAGTGCTTATGTACTGCACAAAGATTGCAGCTGGATCATGGCACCTGGGCCTCAGAAGACTGGGGTTCTATTACTAACGCTCCTCACTGATTCATGTGGCCTTCACCAAGGCATCTTTGTGCTTCAGTTTCCCCATTGGCATGACTGGGCTGGGGAGAAGAGGGAAGAATACTTCTCTACTTCACAAGGGTGTCATGGAACTTAACTGTTTATGGAAAGTGGCGAGGGGCTGGAGGGATAGTGCTAGGAAGCTGCAGAGTTATGGGCAAGAAGATCCCAGTGCTTTTGACACTCAGCCACTGCACATCAGGTCTGGAAGTGGCCTCAGAGCATGGCCTGACATCATTGTATCAGCAAAATAGGGAACCACTGATTTGTGTTTCCCTTTGGCAGATGTTGTATTTCTGTTACAGAAAAGGGAGCCATGGTCTTTCTGCATCTCGTTACCCACATAGCAATGTTATCACAACCACCTCACATTTTACTTACCCTCTGACACCCTGCCCCAGCCACTAGCAACACAGAGTGTCCCGGTTTCAAATGCTTCATCTTTGTGGGGAAGGCAGATTGGCTGAACCCTATGTCCTAAGAAGGAGAATGCACACAAACGTGAGGACATGATCTCAAGGTTGTCAAAAGCCATTCTCCCTGCACAAGCCAGATAAAAGTAATAGTGCCCTTTATTGTGGGAACAGAATGGATCAAGTTCTGCCAGCACCTCTGAGCCAAATATTTTTCTAAAGCAATTCAATCAAATGGCTGAAAATAAATCTAGTCAATCACCTTCCGAATGAGGTAATCAAGACACCATGTTGTTTTAGACAAAATAATTTAAACTGTTTTGGCTGGCCATATTCAAGTGACACATAAGCAGCAAGAACAAGACTAGAGGAAAGACAAGGGGAGAGAAAAGGAGCAGTAGCTTCAAAGGGAAAGAAACAGTTGTAGATCTTATTTGGTTGGCAGTAGTGTCCAGTTGTATATACTGTTGAGCAGTCTATTCTCTGAAGACAGGAATGCTGGCCATGTGTCAAAAGTGGAGTCCTGGTCAACACCGGACATTCAGAACTCACATTTGCTCAACTTTGTTCTTAAACTAGGTGAATACTTTTGTAGGTTTATTTTTGGGGGATCAGAGGAGAAAGGGATCAAAGGCTACTTGACCATTTTGAAAGAAAGAACATACCTTAAAGAACATTTGCAGTGCAGAAGACAGCCCCTCCACCCTCTCCTGGAGGGACGGTCCAGATGCTTAAACATCTTTCGAGTCACTATGATTACAGACTTAATTTTTTTTTAAATCCACAAAATAGGCACATAGGTAACAATAAGCAAGTCTTAATCTCACTGTCAACATAGAGCACTAGAACTGGAAGGGACCAAGTCAAGTCAAGTCCCTTGCCCTCAAAGCATAACCAGACACCACCTAGATCAAGGGTGGGCAATAAATTTTGGCTGGGGGCCAGGCCAGAAGGGGTGGGGCCAGAATGCTTCTGGGCTTCCTCCACCCCCAGACCGTAATTGGTCTCAGTGTAGGGGGAACCTCTTTGCCCCCCCCCTTTCCTAATAGGAACCCAGGCCCCTGGCAGGGTGGGAAGAGGCTTCACACACACCCCTGCCCTCAGGCCCTGATTGGCCTGGGGGTAGGGAAGTGCAGAAAGCCTCCCTCCCACGCTGCGAGCAGTGCATGGCACTTTGAAGTGCTGTGCACTCCTCACAGGGCCAGGACAGGGCAAAGGAAGCTTCGTGCAGCTCCCCCTTCTCCAGACCCTGATTTGCCTGGGGGCGTGGAAAGGGCCAGCACGTGAAGCCTCCTTCCGCCCTACCCCCACCCTGCAAGGAACACACGGCACTTCAAAGTGCCACCCACTGCTTGCAGGGTGAGAGAAGACCTCACACGCTCCCCTGCCCCCAACTCCTGATCGGCTCGAGGGTGGGGGAGTTGTGCGAAGCTTCCCTCGCCCTGCGCGAGCACTGGCAACTGGTGGGGTAGGGGGGAGAAGGGGAAGAGGAAGAGCAGAGGAAACTTCACACACTCCTCCTGCCCCCAGGCCAATCAGCACTTGGGGGCGAGGGAGCACGTGATGTCTCCTCCAAAGCACTGCGTGCTGCTCACAGGGTGGGAGGAAGCGTCGTGCGCTCTCCCCCAGCCCCAGGCTTTAATTGGCCTGGGGGTGGGGGAGCCTGATCAACACTCTTGGTGGGCTGGATCCAGCTTGCAGACGCCTTTTTGCCACTCTGACCTAAATCATCTCTGACAGGTGTCTAACCTGCTCTAAAATATCTCCAGTGATGGAGATTCCACAACCTCCCTAGGCAATTTGTTCCAGAAGAAGCTATTCTGAGGTGATTTCCCTCCATCTCCTCCCTTACCGTACTTCACTCTGTATTTCAGATGCAGCAGAGCGATATCAGAATGCATGTAACCAAGCCTGTTGAAGTCAGGGTGCACAGTGATTTGCGAGACGGGGATGTTCTGTTCTTGCTGGTCTGCCTTTCTGAGGTTATGTTCTCCAACAGTCACGATGAGATTCTGCACTAGTTTCCTGACAAACAAAGGGCAAGGTTAATGACGGAGAGGTTTGCCAACACACTTCAGCCTCTTAAATTGCTAGCCTTGGCTCCATGTGTGTGTCAGAAACAGCTATGCACAAGCAATTCTCTTCATTACAGGGAAGTTCAGCTTGTGGAACATGTGGCCTTGCCACATCCTTTCCTGCCAAGGGCCTGAATCTAGCCTTCAATAGCAAGCTTTTTCCAGCTATGCTACTTTCACTTGGCCTCATGCCTGAAAGGGCTGCCATGCGTCAGAATGCTAGAATATTGTTGAGGTTTTATTTCTTAAGTGACTAGCTTTCTGTTCTACCACAAGGACAAGTTTAGCTGCAGCCTGGATTTTGCTTGTCACAATGGATCACCCTCAGCTTTTAGCCTAGGATCTTTACAGAGGACCAAGATACCATAAATCAGTGGGAAATGAGCATCTACATCCTTTAAGGCCCTTTGCATATGAAATCCCTTCTTTGTTTTAATTCATGGTGTTTGGGAGCTGGGGGTCCGGAAATTCATGCCAGTGTAGACATAGCCATGGTGTTTGGGAGCTGGGGAGCACTAAGAGAAGATCTGGAGCAGGAGGAGAGCCCAAGAGAATGAAACCTTTGAGGGGGCTTTAGGTGTTTAATATTTAATTGGAAACAGTCATGTCTCTGGTACAGCTCTTGTGGGTTTATGAGCACAGCAATGTGTCATTATGCTGAATGAGCTCTGGTAGTTTGGTGCTGCCTGGGACAATCATTACAGTGGACTCCTGATTTAGCATTTACCAAGTTAGTTAGCAAGCCACACTTCACTTCTACACTAAAATGACAGGAGAGCCATTGTAAGTGAAAATAAGGGGATTCACTATAGTCTCTTGGGAGGGACTAGTACAGGTTGGACCTCTCTAGGTGGAACAGAAAGTGCCAGACAACATGCACAGTCCGTCATTACTTGAGGTTGGACCTCTCTAGTCTGGCACTTTGTTCCGCCAACATGCACAGTCCGTAATTACTTTAGTTAGCCAGAGGTCCACTTAGCATGAGTGTGGTCAAGTTTCCTCTGGTCCCATAAAGTTTTACAGCCCCCAGTCCTGGCTCTAGGTGTTCATAAAGTTTTACAGTCCCCAGTCCTGGCTCTAGGTGTCCTGTTATGCAATGCTAATTTACGCCCAAATGTCTAAGAGCAGAGTAAGCAATGGAAGTGTTGGTAGCGCTACTAGACAATATTGACCTCCCATGGTTTGGTAGATTCTCTGATTCGGCACTGGTTAGGCCCCAAGAGTGCTGCACTAGAGAGGTTCAGACTGTAGTATCTAAGTTGTGAACACACGTGTATGAGAGGATAACCAATCAGGAAGTTAGAGACAGAGGTAGGATGGCTTTACACTGGACTAAGACTAGTCTGGATTCAATCCCCAGTACTGTCAGACTTCCCACTGTGGGTAGGGCTGCTCAAAGAAAAGCCCCTACCTGGTCTGCACCAGGCTCACTGTGCTCAACAAGGCAGGGGCCATTTCACTGTTGGGCAGACTCCTGCTATAAGTCTGGAGCCCCAGGTTGTAGGACCCTGCAGGATGGGAGGCCACAAGATCTTGGATTCCACCCTGAGCCTAGAAGTCTGACAGTACTGTGGATTGAATCCAGATTTCAAGAGTCTTAGTCCAGCATAAAGCCATCCTACCCCTCTGTCTCTAGCTTCCTGAAAGCAAAATCCTCCCGTTAGTCACAGATGAGGTGCAGTGTGAGCAGTAGTAGCATGAGCCTTCTGCAGATTTTTCCAGCAGTCACTGCACTAGAAGAATGATTGTTTTGGTTTCCTTCCTCAGGAAGGAACAAAGCCCAATGAACAGGGCAGTGGTCAGGGACTCAGATTCCCTGCATTTATTCTGGTTCTGTGCTAGTCTGTTGCAAGGGGGAGGGAGGGGGGCGGGTCTTGTGAAAATCCCTTCTCTGTACAGTCAGTAAATGGAGAGGATTCCCCACCCTCCAATCTCTGAGCTCAATGGATGCAGAGCATGATACAAGAGCTAGGTAAAAGCCTCATCATCTCAGAGCAGTAAGGCCACTCAGTCTTCGGTGCAAGCCAAGAAGGTGGCAAAACTATGGTGGTTCTACTGATAAAGTGGACTCAGATCACCAAAGCCACACAGTAGCACCATGGTGAAGTTTCACTCAGAATACGTTCACCTAAAGTTCAAGGCTCAGCAAAGTTACAGTCCTAGCCACAACAAGCTCCACTACGTTTTTAAATTGTGACCTGTGAACCACTAGCAATTAGGGCCAGGGTGAGGAACCTCAGGCCCAGGAGCTGGATGCAGTCCACAACTTGCCTGGATTCAGCCCTCAAGGCTCAGGGCTCTCCCCCCAGCATTGAGGAGCCAGCGCTGGCACTCCAGCCACCCTGCTGCCCCATGGGGCAGCTGGAGCACACCAGATCTATTAGGTTGGGCCCCAGTAGGCTCTGGTGTGCAAAGGGAATGTAGGCAGTGTCTTTTTCCTTCTCAGAGGCCAACATCAGTGAGTTTTTGGGGGGGAGGGGCTTTTCACTTGAGTATGGTCCTCGATTGATGTTTCGTGGGTCAGCAGCCCCCAACCCAAAAAAGGTTCTCCATCCTTGAATTAGGGAATCCTCTTTGGTGTTTAAGATGAAATATTTGGAGAACCCCGTACTGGCAGCTGGAGTGTTAGGAGGGGAGAAGAGCAGGGCTTAATTTGTAATGAAAGAGGTGCCAGAGCTCAAACACTTTACTTCCATAAAAGGACTGGCAAGCCCAGAGGTGCTGAGGCTATGAACCATCAAGCCTAGAGCTGCCAGGCACAGCACTGATTAAGCCATGCAACACAGAGTTATTAAGATCTTAGCACTGGAAGTAGCTTACAGAATGAAATAGCTTGGTAACCCTGGTCTAATCCATTGGGGTTTCTCAACTCTGGAAGCTCTGGGGGCCATAACGATACCTCACAGCACATGCCAAGGGCCGCATCTTAAATGGGATGCATATGCATGCAAATATATATGCAAATAGCTTTTCACACTGACGGGCATGAATACAAAGATTAAGGCAAGACTACACAACACACAGGCTCCATTTAAATCAGTTCTGCTGATATTAATAAAAATGCAATATTTACCTGCTTTCAACCCATATGACAGCACTTTTAATGAGCAATGACAGTCCAGGAATTTAACTACGAAAATGCATAGCAACAGAAGGCCATTTAGTGACTACTTTTTTGTTTTGGCTTCCACTGCACCGTGGGCTGCAAACAATGGGCTGTGGGCCACATGTTTAGTAGCCCTGGATTAGACACTACTGCTGCACAAAGATCATAAGCGTAGACAGCACTGCTTTTCCTCAGATGTTCTAGTGCCATTTTCTTCTCCAACTGGGAAGCAGCACAGACTAACATTCCAGGAGTTTCCTTACTAATAGGCTGGGGCTTTAATAAAATAACTCAAAGGTTAAGTACAAAACCAGCATTGTCTAACTTACTGCTCAAGGGTGAATACGCAGTGAGCTGCAGTTACAACCACATCTTCTTGTATTAAACTGCCACCACAGAAGTGGGAACGGCCCAGCTTGAGAGATACCTTAAAAAACAAACAAACAAAAAAAACCACCACACATTTAAGGTGAAACTAGTTATACACTGCCCGCCAAAACAAATGGGAGGTCTTACAAAAATCTGGGGAAGTTATACAGATCACTTAGATCTTGACAGAGGGAAATGCTTAAAAAGAAGTTTTGAATGCTCTAGTTTCTAGACAGCAAGTCCCAGATGACGGATGTTCAGACAAGTGGTGTCTCAACTGAGGACTCATTGACAGCTATCCTTAATTCCACTGTGAAATGCAGAACACAGCAGAGTGCAGATAGAAACGTGGAATTCCCTGACATGCCTGGAGGGAGGGTTTTGGTTCTTGCTTCTTAATGTTTCATATCACCATGGGATAAAGATAGGGCCATATTAACAGGCTTCCCAGGAATGTTGCCTCATTGAAGTAAATTAGCAATTGTTGACTGTCAAAAATTGCTGATTTAACAGTCACCCAACCCTTTTACTACATGAACTGATGCCTGCAAAATGAGAGAACATTGCTACAAAGTCTGACTTCTCTGCCATTGCTCAGCTGATTAGGCAAGAATTCCCCCCAATCACAAATAAAGTTAGTTCAGCATCTTGAGCTGCTACGAAGCAGCATAGGGGAACATTAGGACTCTCATAGAGCTTCAGGGGTAGCTGAGTTAGTCTGTTACAGAAAACAAATGGTCTAGTAGCACTTTATAGACTAAAACATGTAGATGGTATCATGAGCTTCACTAGAATTGAAGGCTGGATGGTATCATGAGCTTTCGTGGGCACAGCCCACTTCTCACTAGAATTGAAGGCTGATACACAATACTGTTATTAAATGTGGGCAGTTTCCTCCTATGGAAGAGACAATTTTTGTACGTTATGTCCCTAACAGTCTGGCATTTATTCCCTGAAGGTCAGCCATAACCCCAGAGTTATCAGTTTTAAGGGGAAAATGCTCAAACTAGCCCACCCCACAGATTACATCCAATTCTTTTGTGAACAGCATGAACTGGTCCCCAAAAGCAAAGAGACACAAAAATGCCTCACATATTAAACACGGAGGACGAGCTCTTCAGTAGATGTGAATCAGCAGAGGGCTACTGAATTGAGTGAATGCACACCACCTAACATTCTGATTACCAAAACTGTACGCAATTTGTACCTTGGAAACACCAGGGACTTAGAGAACAGGAGGATCTTAAATTAAGATTCAGGTCAGAAAAGGGCATTTGGGTTTTAGGTGCCTTAATGAACAAATGTACTGTTACAGTCTATGCCTTGGAAGGAGGGGAGGGGGGAAGGAGGGGAGAATGTCCCTCAAGAAGTTACTGTATTCATGTCACACACCTGCCAGGGTTGGTCCCCAGCCTCAGAATTTCTGCCTCCAACAATTCTAGAAAAGAATCCTGTCTGCAGAAAGCTTTTGTGGTTTTCCAAGTCAATGGGACGAACGCCACACTTCAACCCTGCACCAGAAACAGAAAGGGAAACGTTACGTACTCATACATCAATACATACAAGTCTACAGTTTCAGGAGTCTAAGGGTAAGTCTACACTACAGGACAAAGTTGAACTGAGATGCGTAGCTGAAGTAGCTTAACTTGGCACGGTCTATACTGCAGGAAGTCAACTTCCTTTACGCTTGTGAAAGCAGAGTTACTGGCATCAGGGTGCCCCTCTCACTTTGAAATAGTGATCTTAACTAGACCGCTAATTCAAACCCTGGAAGACTGACAGTGGCACTTTGATCTTCCTTTGTAGTGTGGACATAGCCTAAATAGCACAGTTCCCCTACTGACCAATACTGGGAAATGAATGTTTAAATACTGGATTACAAAGCCTTAAATAAAAGTTTGACTTTTAAAATGAAGTGAGCACAGATGGAGAATCTATGGAGTGCAGAGGCACAGTGCATCTAGAAAATAGATCAGAATGTTTGAGAGGCTGAAGTCAATTTGTCTTAAGGGCAAAGATGCATAATAATTCAGCTTTCATCAAAACGTATCAAAGCTGTTCAGTCACTCAGCAGTTGATGAAAGAACTTGTTAGGTAACTTTACAAGTGCCCATAACTTTTGATCAGCAAATGCATGGGGTACAATGCAGGCCCCTGTTTATTAAATGTTGCAAAACAAATTGAATTCAGCATTTACTACTTTCAAGTTTAAAAAGAGCCCTTTGTTGCAATATGCAAAGGGACAGCTTGAGAGCCAGTTCCAAAAGATCATCTCTCTGACAGAACTGAACAAGCCCAGCCTGCAATCTTCTGCTTCAGGTTGCCCCACAGTCCCAGGAGACTTACAGTCCCTGAATCCATTTGAGATGTGACTGTATCTTTGAAAGGTGAGATACAAACAGAGAAAACAGGACTATGGCAAGATGAAGGACAGTTGTGCCTGATTGGGTTTTAGACATTGTAAAAGGCCATGGAGTTCACACTAAACCTGTTGCAATCTCAGATGTGCGTGGTGAAAAAAAAAACCACCCAACAAGTCTCACCCAGCAGAAAATAATGTATTTGTGTCATGGAGCTGCCAAAAAACATGTTGCAGCCTGAAGAAACCTTTTACTGTCTCATTTGCAGGAAATTATTAATCACAATTTACACTCATGTGCATGATATTAAGATCTGCAATATAAAGATGAGAGTTATTAACAGTAATGCCTCATACCAGGATCCGCTATCCCCAGGTTGGACAGTTCAGAGACAGATTGATTTTCAGCCTCCTGGCTCCTCCCCTCAGGAGACAACAGCAATTCTCCTGCACCATTCAGATGGCCTGTTGCTGAACTCGAGTGGGCTGTGAACAATACAGCATTAGTTCAACGATAATACACTCAGCACCACAACACCAATGGAACACATGGGAAGTCAAACCAGAAAGTACTGGCTCACTGTTCAGGTCTAACCTAGACAGTACGCCAAAGGTACGTCTACACTACAGCGCTAATTCGAACTTAGTTCGAATTAGTTAATTCGAACTAAGCTAATTCGAACTAACGTGTCTAGAACTAAAAACTAGTTCGAATTAGCGTTTTGCTAATTCAAACTAGCATGTCCACATTAAGTGGACCCTGAACTGGGCTTAAGGATGGCCGGAAGCAGTGCCGGCAGGAGTACGCCAAAGGTACGTCTACACTACAGCGCTAATTCGAACTTAGTTCGAATTAGTTAATTCGAACTAAGCTAATTCGAACTAACGTGTCTAGAACTAAAAACTAGTTCGAATTAGCGTTTTGCTAATTCAAACTAGCATGTCCACATTAAGTGGACCCTGAACTGGGCTTAAGGATGGCCGGAAGCAGTGCCGGCAGGTCATCAGAGTAGGACTTAGAGCGTGGAGCTGCTGTCTCAGGCTAGCCGAGGGCT